GAATATCCTATCAAATCACTGTCCTTAACCCTTCATGACACAGCATGAAAACAAAAGAGCATCTTCCGCAAGTTAAAAAACTTGTAGCATGCCTCGGTACTCGCAGACTATTTATATCACCACCTAACCTAAGCACTGACACAAGGCATTTGAAAAAAAAAAATTAATAATAAACAACAATTGTATAAAAAGAATAGAGAAAAATGGTACGTAGAAAGTACGGACAAGTAGTCCATACATCAACCAAAACCAACAAAACTCTAACATAACAAAACTGAGAAAATACAGAAGCAAAAAACAATCATTCTCACACAGCTATTCAGCTTTCCATAATGCCAAAGAGCGGGATAGCTCCAAACTCCTTCGAGACTAATGCCCAAAAAATTGCTAATTCCATAAACCATCATTCACCTCATACTTGTCATCAAATATTCTTGCATTTCTATTCAACTAAATCACCCAAATAGTAGCAAAAGTCACACATTCCCAAAGAGTAACTTCTTTACCTCTAAGCCCATTAAAATCCAACACAAAACATAGATAAAATAGCACTTGGAGCCACCCAAGACATCCCAACCAACTCAAACAACTAATTTCATAACTTCAATGAAACTAAACAATGCAAAAATAAGCGGTTGGCATTGTCACCATTCCTTTTGCACGTAACACACCATTGTGGGTATAGAATAAGATAAGGACGCCTTCTTGGATCATATCATTGGTATTGATTATCCCATGAGGAATCACTCATGCACAAACTTGCACTTTCAAAGGCACCTTGGCCTTTCAAATTTTCAATAATGGATAAAAAATTTGGGAGAGTACGCCTTCTATCAATAGACTCTGGGTTTAACATCACATGATCAAGCAAAGAAAGAAGAGAAACCATCTCCACCGATTCCCTATCATTGAGACTCCTGCAAAAATCAATGTCCCACATCATCGGGAAAGAAAAAGACCCAACCATTGAAACAATACGAGCACGAGGATGACAAGAAAAGTGATAAAGCCAAGGAAACAAACAAGCAAGACAAGCACTTTGAGAAAAAATTGGACACTTTGAGCAAAAGATAGAAATCCTCGAGCAATGATTTCCGTGAGTTTCAAAAACTACCTTTTTCAACCTCATTAACATCCCATTCAATGGGTAGTAACCCATATTTGTTTCTAATAACCTTACACCGCAAAGAATTTTGTTTCAATGGAAATCTCCAAAGTCATTTTCCAACAAGGGCTATGTTTCTAGCCCTCAAATTAACCCAAAGCTAACCCAACATTAACTCTAGGCTTCGAAACCACCTCCCAACTAATCAAGCAGTCCTTTCTACCTTCTCCACTAACCGCCCATAAAAATTCTCTCATCATCCCTTCAATCTTTTTAACCACAACACCAGGCATTTTAAAGAGAGACAAAAATTATATGGGTATACTAGCCAAATTCGACTAAACTAAGGTAAGCCTAACCCCTCTAGAAATAAAGGTTTTTTTCCATCTATCTAATCTCCTACCTATTTTCTCCATAACCGGATCCCAAAAACCCAAAGACAAATGATTACAACCTAAAGGAAGACTCAAATATTTTAGAGGTCAACCTCCCACAGAACATCTGAAAACCCGGACAATCCAAAAATTTTGCCTTGATTAACATTAATTCCTACAACTACACTCTTTTCCATATTGACCTTAAGCCCAAACACCACTCCAAAAACATCAACAATATTCTTAATATTCAAAAATTTCTCATCTCCAAAGGAGAAAAAAATAATATCATCGACAAACTATAAATGTGACACAATAACCATCTCCCAACCAACCATAAAACCTTCCATTATATACAGTGTTTCGCCCGCAACATTAACCTACTCAATCCATCCACAACCATAGTAAACAAAAGGAGACAAAGGATTCCCTTGCCTAAGTCCCCATGATGCCTTAAATCTTCCCCATGGCCTTCCATTAATAATGACCGAAAAATTCATAGATTTCAAGCAACGACTAAACCATTTCCTCCATCTTTGCACATACACCTTCATTTCCATCACAAAATCCAAGAAATTACAATCCACGTGATCATAAGCTTTCTCAAAATCAAATCTTGAAGACAATTCCTTCATTTCCTCTATCTCTACAATCCTTAACCACCTCATTAGCCACCAAAGCAACATCCATGATTTGCCTTCCCTTAACAAAAGTCCCCTGAAATGGCATCAGTCAAGCTTCCCTAAGCCTAATAGACAACACTTTAGCAATGATCTTGTAAATAATTGTAACAAGACTAATCAATCTAAAATCTCTAACTCTAATGGAATTCTCCTTTTTCTAGTAAGACCTATGAAAAGCACCGACACGCTCAAATGGCTCACATAACTGGTGTCCGACACATTTGGAACATGAACATGTGTCCCTGACACATGTTGGACACGCAATAAAATTTTCTTTTAATTTTTTTGAATTTCAGATACGTCCAGACACCTCAATGACTTGTCCAAACACGTTTGGGAAAAACTAATGGGAGAAACTCATCGCATGAGGAAGATGAAGATGATAAAAAAAAAAAGCCATTACCCATGTTTAGGAACTATCCAAGAGATCCATCGGTGGAAGGAAGATAGGAACTAGAGCTTGCTATCATACTATACATCGATGACGGAGACTAAGAGAGCAAGTTGGAGAGGTAATGTAGAGAAAGAGAAAGCGAGAGTGGAGAATAAATATTCTGATGCCTTGAGTTGGTACCTTTTTTTTCTTGATCGGTGATATATGTGTAATCAGATAAGATCCTCATCATATTTTATCTGCCACTTGTCTTTTATTGATTGGTAAGCCAAATTACTATCTCATTCAACTTATCAAAAATATACTAATGGTCGGGCCTCACCTAAAGGGTTTTAGACTCTATTTTGGTCCTTTTGTTATTGAGCCTCACAAGGTGAATCTATTTTATACCCAATTTAGGCTACTAGGCTTACACATTAATTTAGACCAAATTAATGTGTGTAATGGGTCTAAATTTGTGAACTCATGACCTATAAAATATGCATTGGACCAAATTTCTAAATTTATGATCACATAAAAATATATTTTATATTCAACGTGTCCTAGGCATACCCGTGCCCTACTTTTTAGAAAAATACTGTGTTGGAGTGTATGGGTGGTGTTGTGTTCGTATCCTGTATCCGTATTTGTGCCCGTGCTTCTTAGGATAAGACAACTAAATGTTGCATTGGTTATAACATTCAACACACCACTCTGAAAAAATTCAAAAAAAATCTCTCACCAAATCAACTTTCATCACCTCCCAACATTCCTAAAAAATAGTCATAATGAAGTCATCCAACCCAAGTGCTTTCTCTTTAATACAATCAAATATAGCCCTCCTCAACTCTTCCTCCTCAAAAAGTCTCTCCATCTATCATGACAAACTCGCCCCAATAGGGCACCACTCAAGCCCTTCCCCTCTAGGTCTACCTTCATCAGAAGTCCTGTATAAATTAGAAAAGAAACTCACAACCTCACGTTCAATTTGTTCCTCGTCCTTGATAAAAACTCCTCCCTCAATTTTCAATTTGTTAATAATTTTCTTCTTCATGTTTCAATTTGCCACTTTATAAAAAAACTTAGAATTATTATCCCCCTCCTTCACCCCACTTCACCCTTAATTTTGTCTCCGCCTCATCTCTTCTCTAAAAACAACCTCCTCAAACTTATTCCTAAGATCTCATCTCTCATTTCTCAATCCTTCACCCAAACCCGCTCTCTCTTCAATCTTATCAATATCATCAATCATATCCAAAATACAACTCTTAATTACACGAATATCACCAAAAACCTCATTATTCCACACCTTGATTCTTCTCTTAACAAAGTTCATCTTTTCATAAACTTATATCCCTCCCAGCCTTCAAAACAACCCTTATTCCAAAATTCCTTAAACTTTTCCCTAAAAGTATGATGATCAAGTCACATATTCTCAAATCTACATGGACCTAGACCCCATTGATGCTAGAATTATCAAGAATAATACGACAATGGTCAGACAAAACCTAGGCAACACCTCTAATCTACAACATGGAAAACACTCCTCCCAACCTAAAATGAATAAAAACCTATCAAGCCTCTTACACATAACATCCTCCCTAACGTTTTACCACATAAAGGCACCATCGACCAAGGTGGGTCATTAACTTCAGTTTCCCACATAAATGAATCAAACTCACGCATACCTTTTGTGACTCTTCCCCCTTTAAGTCTTTCCCTAGAATACCTAATAACATTAAAATTCTCTCCTATACAGCATTTTGGACTGCACATTCCAAATAATCCCGCTAACTTTTCCCACAAAGACCTCCTCAACCTAGACTTATTAGGCCTATACACCCTAATGAACCACCACTCAAGACCATCCTTGAGCTTGAATTTAACAGATAAAAGTAAATTTCCCTTCCATTGTTTTTCTCCACCGAAACCGATCCTTCATCCCACATAATAACAATACCCCTTGATCTTCCCACAGAAGATAAAAAAACTTGCATCTTCATCTCTTGCAAAATGACAATATTCGGGACCAAACTCAAGAGAAGCTCTTTAATGGAACTTCTCTTCCTACTAGATCCTAAACCCCAAACATTCCAACTATCTTCATATCTTACCAAAGCACTCATATCAACCTTATTAGCATCATAATTTATCCCAAATTGCAAATGTCTCAATTATTTACAACCTTCCCTACGTTTTGCACTCTTACCCTTCCCTTTACTCTTAGATTTTTTCGCTGGAACTAAACACAAGTTCATCTTTCTAAGAAAGGTTTTAAGAATTTCCCATTTTTCTTCATCTAACAAAAAAAACATATTCTTCCCATCAATAGATACCTTATAGCATTCATCATCCCCTCCTAATCCCTCTATCACTCCTCTATCATAGCAAACAATGGTCCAATCAATAACAACCTTAGGATTTCCTAAAGCAAAATTAATTGTGGCAAATTTATTATTGTTACACAAATTTGATTCACAAAAATTCAACTCTTGGTACGCTAATAGGTCTGAAACTGGTGCTTTATCAATTCCCATAGAACCCCCCTCCCCACTGGCCCCCATATTCTTCCCTTCAGACTCACATTGCCCTCCCTCAAAATTTTTCTCTCCCCCCATCTCTAAAGTTTTAACCACATTACCCACCCTCAACACATCATGACAACTAGAAGGATATATCATACCCTTAGTGCCCCCTTCCACACTCTCCACCCTTCAAATCCCAGACAGACAGCAGAGAAGCAATGGTGACACCCTCTCCAAACTTTTCCACCATTGAAAACTCAAAAAACTTATTGCGCCCTTCAGATGTGCAAAAGTTTGTAATAGAAACCGGAACAAAACCAATACTTACCTCGCATAAGCCTCCAAAATTTCAATCTCCACTTTTGTTATAATTCACAAATTTTGTCTTTGGTATGCCATTATAATTCTCTTCCTCACTTTAAAAAATCCGTCCCACTTCAGCACAAACCTCCTCAAAGCTTTAAACTGTCACTTCTTCACTTCAATCAAAAAAGTCCACCAAACTGCAAACAATACTCGTGCACCCAGAAGGCTTCCTAGCATCATCGTTAATATCAAACATTCCTTCATCCACCTGGTCCTAAGATAACCATGTTCTCCTTCATCTGAACAAATCTTATTTCCATCTCGAATTTCTCATCTTCATCCCGATAGCTTGATTCATCATCTCCTTTTTTTAAAATAATAATCTGATCTTTCTTCTGTATTTTCTCAAAGGTTCGACTGCAATTGTTGGCTTCTTACTCGATCAAACAAGGGCACCACACAAAGGCACTCTGTTTGCCCTAGACATCGACAACATCTCACCAAGAAAGCCCTAGTTTTGATCTTGGGTTTGGATAGATCCGGAGTAACCTCTAATTACTTGATTTAGATTTGAGTTTAAGGGCCCACAAATCTGTACTAATTTCAGACCCAATCCACCTAATTTAGAGGCCACAACCAGCCTACCTTTTTTCATGCCTTCCTCTTTCTCTTTTTATTGAAGCCCACCTCTTTCGAGCCCACTTACATCTTTCAAATGTGCACCATTAACATCCTTAATTACTTCCTTACCTAAATTAGTTCCATCTTTAACTTTCAAGTTTCCTTCATTAACCCATAATCTCAATAATGATGAGAATAATGATATCTACCAGTGATGGTTCATCCATTGGTCGGTTGTACCAATACAATCAACTTTGAAAGCCTAGGTGAAAGATTAAGAAATTTTTAGTTCGAAGGGAAGTACAATTGGTAGTTTTATTATTATTATTTGATTTATAAGTACTTGTTTGACTAGGAATAGCAGTTAGAATTTGATTAGTAAATTATTATAGAGTCATAGACTCTTAGTAATATAGGAGTTTAAGAATTTGATTATGAAACTCTTTTACAATTTTAGTATGAGAATAGCTTTTATTTTTGTAGAGAACTTGGTCTATAAATATAGATGTAATCCCCACAATTTTTACTAGAGAATAATATAATAAAAAAGAGTTTCTCTATGGAGAATTTTATATATTTTTTGACCTAATCCTTGCGAGACTGTGGTATCTCTTCTACTTCTTTTTAAGGCTGGGGACTTCGACGGATTCGGAAAGCACACATCCAACCTCCGACTTCGGTCAGAGTGCATTTTTCCCTCCGAATCTAAACTACTATAACTCCGATTCCGACTCCGCTTGTTGGAAGCGAAGGTGAAAGCAGAGATTTGAAAATGTAACAATCCAAAAAAATACAATCAAAATTTTGACAAATATTTCTCAAAATTTGGCCATGAACATCTATTGGAGACATATATATATATATATATATATAGAGAGAGAGAGAGAGAGAGTCACTATTGAGACCATCGTAGTAGGTGAGAGCTTCAATCAACAATCAAAGATGAGACCATTGTTGCCCGTTGGTTCACTGAGATCTGCAATCATCGATTGAGACAGAGAGATAGAGATATGGAGGGGGAAAGTTGTTCGCCTGCTCGTCGACATCTGGTGGGTCGGTGGGTCGATGGGTGGGGGTTTGTGTGTGTGTGAGAGAGAGAGCGCCTCATCGTCCACTGTGTGTGTGTGTGTGTGTGTGTGTGTGTGAGAGAGAGAGAGAGTAAATGGGTTGGGGTGTGGCTGACGTTTGGGTTTAGAGGTAGATCACTAGATATATTATAATAATATGTTATGTAATTTATGTTATATAACTACGGATTTATAATAATATATCATATAATTTATTAAAAAAATATTAATTAATAAAAGTCAAAGTCAGAGTTTTTTCAGATAGGCATTCCGACTACAACTTCGACTGGCGGAGGCCGAGTCGGAGACAGACTTTCGGATAGTTGCACACCCCACTTCAACTGGACGTGTCTTTGTCATTGTTCATCGGCTCCTTGTCCCAGCAACATTTTTTTTCCTCACTGTTATCATGTAACAGCTGCTGGTAAGAAAGAATTGAAGAGTTGAGCTTCTTGCTGCTTGCTGGTTATTTAAATTGATTTGACCAGACCACATTTCTTTGTACCAGCCCTACTCAAATTTCTGTCCAACCAAATCAATACCCACTGCCCCTTTAACACAAAAACCAATAACCAAACCATTATCACTGTCTTAACCAACACCTCTAAATTTACAAAAACACACCCAAGTCTTTTCAGAATTTTATATCTGACACCTGGAGTTTCTAAAATTACACTTTTGCCCCAATATTACAAATCAGCCCCAAAATTTTCAGAACTTACAGTTTGACCCGAAAAAAATCTACAAGATGGTTACCAATACCGAATCAAGTGCTAGGATTGAAGCATATGATTTGCGATAAATTCACTTCAAGCATCAATGGGTTCATTCCACACATCATGAAGGTGTACACAAGTTCTCTGCCATATTTGAAGTTAAGCTCCCAAATAAGACACTTGCAAGCAATGTAGATATTGATTCATCTTCTTCATCAATTAATCATCAATAAGTGAGTGATCAAACTTTACCATCATCGTTAGTTCTGACCCAGTTAGATGAAAAATCAAAATTATTAGATGTTGATGAGCTTAAAAGTTCTCCTTCTCATCCTATTGTTTTTCATGAGCCAATTTCAAAGGATGTTCCTACAGATGAAGTCAAGCAAATCTCATGCGTGATTTTTTTAGATGGGTTCTATAGTTTGACCACTCAATCAAAGTTTTCACGGATTGAGGATGTGATGATTGTCATGTATAGGCAAGGACTCAATTCTCATATTTCTACAGGTTTATAAGTCAAGTTGTCTATCAGATGGAAGATGAGTTGAAAAAGATATCTTCTATGAGATCTTCTATAGCACCTCCAATCTGGATCGAGAGAACTGCCTGAGATGCCAGTCAAGGTAAGTTTACTAATAGACCCCAACAGAATATTTTTACTCCAAACAAACCATCTCAAACTAGTGTTAATTCTTCTTCTCCAGATATACAAGATGTTTCAATTGTCATGGTTTTGATTATCTCTCTTTTTAATGCCCTTCAAAATATATTGTTGTGGTTAAAAAGAAAAATTTCAAGGTGCATAATGATCTTGATGAGCTAGAATTGGAGATAGTGATTGTAAAACCTCTTGATGTGGGTGAGATAAATTTTAATTATTTAGATGATGATCATCTTTTGGGTGTTATTCGTCATCTACTAATTGCTAATAAAGAAGTTGCTAATGGTGAGTATATTCATTGAGAAAAATCTTTTAGACAAGAGTAAGTTGTGAATGACAGATATACTCATTAGTGATTGACACTGGAAGTTGCACAAATATGGTATTAGAAGAGATAGTGAAGAAACTGAGATCGTGAAGAAACTAAATTTGAAAGTTGAACCACATCCGAAACCACATCATGTAGCATGGATTACTAATACGAAGTTGAAAGGAGATAAGAAATGTGCAATAACATTCACCATCGGAAGCCTTAATAAGACCATCATATGTGATGTGTTGCATCTCTAACTTTGTCATATACTTTTAGGCCGCACATGGATATGAGATCGTGATTCACAACATGCAGGGCATGCTAATACTTATTCTTTTGCAATTGAAAGAAAGAAGTATACTATTACTTGTGCTCACTGCAATTGAAAAGGATGTCGTTATTGATTCAAAGAGCTTCTCCATCAAATGGTATTCTTGGTCGTCCACCTATTGTTATTACAGTCGGAATCCTACTCCTACGATCCCACGATCCAAATCTAACAAATCGATCCGGATCATATGCAAAATCACTGGGTAGTAACATTGATGATGATCGAGATTCGAATCCTTCAAAATCATAGGATCCCGATCCCACGATCCTACTCTTACACAACCACACAGGATATTCTTTTTAGTAATGTTAAAGCCAAATGTGCAATCTCTGTTTTTTCTACTTAATGTTTTCCTCTTGTATGGGTTTCTAAAACTCTATTGTCTAGAATCAATTTTGCCGCCTCTGTTTTTTTGTTATTATCCTATTACAACCTTAACTTAAATTGTAATTTTTGGATTTTGCTATTACAGCCCTAAGCTCCTCTTTGTTTTATAACTTGAATGTTACAATATTAATGTGAATGGTCTACCTTTTAAGCTACATTCTCAATTTTATTTGAGTTAGCTTGTTGTACGCATATTACACATGTCTATAATCAAGGTTTGGTTCATTGAAATATTTGTTGTTGAATGTATTTTTAGTTCGATTTTCTTTAATAAATAGGATCTTACGATTCTCGATGTGATCCTATGATTCCGATCCTACAACCGCCCCCATCGATCCAACGTAGGATCCCGATTTTAAAAACGTTTCCTCCACCTTACTCGTCAGAGCCAAGTTCTTTTCAGCGGGGGAGAATTGATGGCACAAATATTGACCAATTGAACCAATAGAATTAACTTTTGAAGCCTAGACAAAAGATTATGAATTTTTGATCCAAAGGAAAGTGTAATTGGTAGTTTTATTATTATTATTTGATTTATGAGTATTTATTTGACTAGGAGTAGTAGTTAGAATTTGATTAAAAAATTATTATAGAATTTTAGTTATATAGGAGTTTAAGAGTTTGAATATAAAACACTTTTAGAATTTTACTATGAGAATATTTTTTATTTTGGTAGGGAACTTGGTCTATAAATATCAATGCAATCCCACTATTTTTATTAGAGTGATATAATAAAAAGTATTTCTATGGAGAATTTTATGTATTTCTTGACATAATCCTTAAGAGGGTTTGGTATCTCTTCTACTTCTTTCTATTATCTTATTTTTTCCTCTGTCCTACATCAATCAGCCTCATTTAAGAGCAGACAAATTGGGCCACTTATATTACTCATTGGATTAGGTGTATTTCTTTTTCGTACAACCTCCTTTCCATACCATGTAATCTTTCAAATCCTAATGCATCGTCTTCAACCTCCCGCCTGTTGTATAAAGACTCCATACTAGTTTGTTCTAGGTTGGCCTCTTATATCCATCCATCAATGAAAAATCCCTGATCTTTATAGAATAGGTTTTCCGATTATAGCTAATGTCAAAAGAAGTTCTCAAGAAACCATCACAAGGTCGCTTCACACAAATCCTAGCCTAAAACAGTTACATCTCCACAGCTATCCCCAATCTTCTTGAACACATCTAGCTTCCAAATGTGAAATGGAAGACCTTCAATTGCAATCCATCCTCCCATAAAAGAAACCTTGCCTCTAATTGTATTGGCACGCTGCAACTTTGCAACTTCACAGACATAGAATTTTCCAAAAGACAAGTCTCAACTTTACGCATCTCTTCAGCTTTCGTATCTGAGTCACATAAGAATATTGTTTTATCCACTTGGAATGGCTTCACTCAATATCAATATTCATAATACTCTTCAAATGTCTATGTATAACATTCCAAGGATGAAACAGGCTTAACCTGCAACAGGCCACTGCTTTCTGCCATTTTTCCTCTTCACAGAACAAATTCTCATCCCCCAAAGCAAATAGGTTATTCATTTGCTTCTTTTCCTCCACTTTGTTACCTATCATTTAACTCCTTACCCTGTCCATTCCACCTAGCTTTCCCCTTGAAACATCCAATAATCTACCAAACTGAATCCATCTTTTTGCATTAACGCCAAGATAATAAGTCCCAGGCTTCCTCCATTATTCATTAACTTTGTAATCCTCAAAAACACACCATATCTACTAGCCTCCATTTCCACCAAAATACAAAACCCTGCTTCCCTGTACTTTTTCAGAAACACTCCCTTCTGATCCCACTTCACCACAATACCAGCTTGATTTAAAACACAAGAAAAGGAACCAAATCTATTCCATTGCGTAATCTAAAACCACCCATTATTCAGCCCCACAGATTTAACAGAAAAGTTTTATGTTCAATCTGTAATTCCATAATAACCAGACAGAAGAAACTCTTGAATTATTATAGCATTACAGATCACAAACTCCTAAGCTAAATGCAAACTCATCTACAAGACTTGTCATTAGAAGGCATAGAACTTTGTGAATGGTTTGTCTCTTTTAAAAGCAAGACCAAAATCATAGTTTGATGGTCTGATTCCAATCGAGAAGATGATTCCTCCAAGAGCAGGAACACAATGTACTTCTGACACATTGCATTTTTAAGGCATTTGAACACTTCTAGTCTAGGGGCTTATGTGTCTGAAGTTCATAGCTTTTGTTATTCTCTCTTTTGCCCAGGCATAGTTATTGTATGAAGTTATGAACATTTCCCTCCCTGCCATATCAGGATGATCAAAGGGGTTGCATTTAGAGAACACATATGTATCAATGATGGATAATCATTAGAATATACAGGAGAAAAAAATGCAAATTAAAAATAGACAGCTAAAACACCAAAAACAATTTTCCCACTTTTATAGCCAATCTTGTCCCAGCTTCAGGTGGAATGTCATGCAAAATCATTTGACTATAGTTGTGTTCTAAAATAAGAAGAGCTCTAACTTTATTCATGTTTACCATCACAAACCTTGGCACACTGTTTTGCATTGTGTTCCAAACTTCCACAAACAAAGCAAGGTCTCTTTCGCTTAGCTGATGTACAGTTCACAGTTGTATGGCCTTCTTCACCACAATTATAGCATGTTCCCCAACCACTATCTGGAGGATCAAAATACCTAGGCCCTCGCTGAAAGAAGAATACATAAAGCCACAAATAAATGTAGTTGTATTTCCAAAAAGCAGATGCAACATATTACTTCAACTCACAAGAAGCTTTCGCAGCACAATATTATCAGCAATTTCAACAGGATTTGTTTCAACAAATTCATTAACCACTGGAGCTTTGCCTCTCTCTGCTTGGTCTTCCTCCTGTGTACCATCAACCTAATGCAAATGAAGATAGCGAAAAAAGCCATTGTAACCAATTGCAAGTTCAATTTCCAAAATTCCTTCACATAGAAAGGTTATGGCTTTAAGGCTAAATTAAAATAAGAACTAAGACAGAAATAGAGATTTAATAATGCAATTTCAAGAGAAATAATAAATAAAACCTTCTTCTTAAGAATAAAATACTCCAGAAGTTTTTCACAATTGCGAAAAAGGTCATTACCCAGTTTGCTCCCTATTAATTAATGGCTACTTTTACAATTGCACGGGGCAATGATCCTTTTCTGCAAAAATATCTCAGAAATCATCGAGAAAACTGTGAGATTTTCTCTTCTGACTTCATAATAAATACTTTCTTCTACAAATATATACACATTTTCATAAGGGTCTGCTTGTATAATGGCAAATAATTTCTAAACCCAAAAAAGGAGTTCCTAAGAAAAACATGTGTAGGTCTTATTTTTCCTAAGCTAATCAAGAAGACATGATGAAAATCCATTGATATATACAAAATGTGTTCAGTCTACCGCGAACAATTCGCCACAAAACTTCCTGAAATTCGAACATATATCACTTGGCACCTGAGAAAACACATATATGAACTTAATTAAGACTACAACCACCATTGAGTAGCATAATTAAGTGCACACCCTCATTCTATAAAAAAAAAAAAACAATCCCAAAGTCAGACCATGAAATCCAAAATCAATCTAAAAAATCTAGAGAATAAGTTAAGAATACTCAATTTCACGATTCAATTCAAGCACTTACGGTGTCGTTTTGGGACTCAATTTTTTGGTTCTTCTTCTTCAATTTCTCTTTCTTCGTCTTCTTACTACCTTTCATGTTCGTAACAACATGAGCTTCTTCAGAAGGCGACGCAGCAACAACAAGACCACTTCTTTTAGATTCATCGAAAGCGGCATCGTTTTGGATGTCGGTGATAAGAGTAACGCCGCTCTCTGATTCTTCCATAACGCCGTCGTTTCGGCGGGTGCTACACGCTCGTAACATAGCTTTCTCGACGATTTTCAAGCTCAAGTCCTCGTTCGCCTCTTCGTCATCGTCGTCGTCCAATACGGCTAGTGCTTCGTCGTCGCTTTCGTGATCTGACTTCGATTTCAGCTTCTTCTCCCTCTTGCCCATGGAGCGAGTGTCCGTGTGCGTTTCAGAAATTGACCACTCCGGCGGACCAAACCCAAACCCTAACCCTAAACCGGCCAGTACACAAGGTCTCAGTAAAGCACGCGTTTAGACCCCAATTACCCAAAAAGGTCTTAAATTTAGATAAAATTGGCGGCCGGTAATCTCTAGAAATTTTATTTGTCTACAAGTAGCCAGTAAATTATAATTCTCCCAAATATTTATATTTTCTTTTGTATTACATAATTATTCTTACTTTAATTTCTATTTAATAAATTCATTATTTTTATTTTTTTATGAATTTATTTTAATGAGATTAGATATTTTTTAAATCAAGTGATTAGAAACCATTTGAAATATTTGAAGGAGTCATAATTTAAAAAAATATATAATTAAGATACATATATATATATAATAATATCAATAGATAAATAATTCTTATCTTAAAAAGTATCTAAAATTAATTAATTTAAACTTTATATTAGCTTTAATTAAGTCACATGTATGTGTATATATATATATATATAAATACACACACATACATGTACTAGTTGATGTACACGTGTGTTGCACGTGAATAATGCAATTTTATTCAAGATATAATTTATGTACACAATTTACATATAGTCATATCTAATTGATTTAACAGCAAGATAAGTTTAAACCCAATGAAAACCTAATAAGAATTAATTAAAACAAAATTTCCCTATAACACTAATAAAGCCTAAAGAAATTCAAAACAAATTTATACCTACCAATCAAGCTAGTTAGAAATCTATCCTTGATGTATTTTTTTATTGAAATTATTTATTTGAGGTTGAATCAATTGAATCTACAATTCATGATGCAACCGATAACAGAATTTTTTTCGCAACTTTAGACAGAAAAAGGTTAGAATTACCAAACAAGAAGATGTTGATGTCGAAAACACACCACAAGCATTGAAACAAACAAAAGGTGAAATAAAACTCCCAATCCACATGTATCTCACCATTAGATTGCCAATCACTATGCATCATAAAAACCTTAATTTTCAATCTCACTCTGCCCTGCCTTTTTTATTTTCATTTGCGCCGGTAAGTGCACAAAAATTAAATCCTTTATGCCCTTGACATACTCTTGTATGATTTTATTTCAGCACACTTTTTTTCATTTCAAAATTCTATTATGTTTGTTTTTAAATTTTCTCTATGGATTCAACCCGTTTTGGCTTAGGTTAGCTACTAAGAGCAACTCCATCAGGATAGTTAAAGGAGGCTTATTAGCTATTGATGACGCACAAAATCGTTTTGCACACCACCCGTCAATTAAGCAATATAAAATGCAGTAAGTAGAGGGAGAGAGAAAACAAGGTTTAAAATAGTTTGGTCAATGAGACCTATGCCCACTTTCAATGGGTATGTTGGGCGGGAATTTTATTGACTCGATGCGTTTAGGAGAACAAGAATTACAAGAGAGAAGGAGATGAGCTTGATTTTGTTGAGGTGTCCCCCAAGTATTAGGGGAGCTTATAATTTATAGAAGCCTACGTAGTAATTGAGTAGCTTGACAGTTATAACGGACCGGAGGCAACTTAATAGCTAATGCCTCTCCTCTTCTTGGCGACCTCTCCTCTCCCTGGCGACCTCTCCTCTTCTTCAACAGGCAAGGGTATAACTCCTGGATGCTCCCGTAGCTCCCTGATGGACTTGACTGTCTTGGACCTCATAGGGTTTGCTTGATTTTCTATAAGCTTGGGCTTTTTCCCGTGGATTGGGCCATTTGGGCTTGACCCATCATTTACCCCCCAATGCCCCATGTCCAATGAAATTTAGAAAAGTGGGCATTCAACTAAATTTGAATTCTAACCCAAGAATACTCCTCACTCGCTACGTCCATGTTGCACTATGATAGCAAGGATCGACCTGCCCGGACAGGTCGCGGGGTTCCACCTTAAAACTGTTTTTTGAATTACATACCAAGGCTCCTCCTTCTTTTCTGATATATATTTTAGCTCTGTAGGACACCTCCAGCTACATAAACTCTTCCTTTTATTCCCTCTTTTGAATTCTAGAAAAGCTCTTGGTTTTGAATTAGGCCTTTTTGCCTTTTCCGTGTTTTCAAAAAACCTTAGGTATAAATAGTAGCTCTCTCCACTTTACTCATTCCATTGAAAGTTGAGAAAGTGAAAAATGGCTTTTATTTCCAAGACTCCTTCAAGGAATTGTGTTAGGAACCCATGACAAATGAAGGAAGTAATCATGGGGTTGTTGCACTGATCCAAGGAGAGATGGAGGATGAGGTAGACGCTAACGTGGAGATGCTTGGGACGTCTGTCGTCGCCGATCGCGCGTCCATGGTGCTATCTGATGTGGGGGCGGCTATGGTAGAGGAACAAGTTGTTATGGATCATGATGGGCAAGTAGCCCTTTGCAATGGGCAAGCAACTCATGTGCTGGGCGAGCAAGGTGGGACGAAGGAAAGAACGAGGTAGCCCACTGCGTCGGACGAGCAAGAACTGGGCGGCGCTGCTATCCAGGTGTTGGGCGCCTTTGCTGGTCACGCAGAAGGGCGTGCAGCTCACGTGACAAGCGAGCAGGATAAAGAGTTAGACGCTGATTCAAATAGAAATCTAAGCGCCACTTTAGGCGTTGGACAGGACAGCCATCTAGGCACTACACTGAGCGGTCTCGGAGTGCACAATTCCGTGTGATGGGGCAAAGGTGTGGGCAGAGGAAGGTTCTGGCATCTGGTGTGCTGGGCAGCCCATTAGGCGAAGGAAAAGAGAGGGAGGAGGAGCCCCTGGGCGCTGCTTCCATGCGCAGGACAGCTAGGCGTGTTGTTCAGGCGTTGGGCAACCATGGGGATTCCTTAGGCAAGCCTGAGGTTGCCTTAGGTGCCTCGACTTCTCAAGGCCTCCCTCGGAATGGCACCGTCCACACTTTGAGCTCTCGCAAGAAAAAACAACAAAGCAAAGTAGCTGATGATGGGTCCAAGGTAAATACCATCTCTAGCACTTTAGATACAGATGCTAATATTTTGCGAATTATCTCCGCCTATCACATTCCTTCGACTGTGCTGTGCCGTCGAGCCGAGATGGGTGAGCTTGCCTTTGGTGATTCCTCTAGTGACATTTTCATCTATGAGGAAATGCTGGAGGCTGGGCTTAGGTTCCCTATATCTCCTTCTATTTGCAGTATTCTTCATTATTTTTCCCTCACCCCGGGGCGATTGTCACCCAATGGTTGGAGAGTCATATTGGTTTTTCTTGTATTGTGGAGGAAAGTGCACCATGAGGATGCCTCTCCTGAGGAGTTTCATGGAGCTTATACTTTGAGCGAGACCCCCTGCTCCCAATCGGGGTTGGTATTACTTCACCACGAGAGACAAGTTGATTATCGGTCTGCGGTCCAACTGCCATAGTTGGAAATCTCGCTTTGTATTTATCGGCGGAGAGTGGGTTGCAGAGGCTGATCGGGCTTTGGTACCGAGAGGATAGGGTGTCCCTAAGAAACTTGGTATGTCACATATTTACTTTCTCTCTTTTGCTCTTTTTTTTTTTACTCATCATTCCTCTTGCAGATCCGTCTGTGCTCTCCAAAGACCAAGAATGGAAATTGTAGGCCATGAGGGCTCATCCTAACAAGGACTTGGGAGTACTTTTGCCCAAGGATGCTAGGACCATTACTCCCTCCCTGAAGTTCGGCGGCTCCTTTTCGAAGAGGAAAGGTGAGTTGATTCTTTGTACCTTCTTTTTTTACTTGGTGTTGTTCATGTGGGTAATACTTTATTTTCTTTGGAGCAGTAGATAGGGAGGTGATTAGGTCTCGCCTTTCGAGTAGGAGTCCTCCTCCTTCTAAGGTGGCGAGGACGGAGGATGCTTCCCAAGCTACCTTTCCAACCATGCTGCCCGATATGAGCTCTCCTCAATCAACCCCTCCACTGGCACCTCGAGCGTCCTCCTATTAAGTGACCAATCCAGGGGTGCCTCCTCCGTCAGATGCTCCCACAACTGCACCTCCTGCCCTAGAATCTTGTCTAGAGTCTCGTTTATTGGTCACACATTCTGCCCCCCCATTCATCCACTACTCCTGTGGGGACTTCTTCTAGGGTACCTACTCAAATTAACTCCATGTTGAATAACGCGCAGGTCATCAAGGATCGTCTTGGGAAGTTTTTGTTCACCAACGATGTGAATGGGATTAGTGTCTTGGGCATCAAGGGGATCCACAACTCTTTCCTAGAAGGCTGGGCTCAGGTAAGGGTTTGTTCTCTTCCCCTTTCTCCCTTTTTTTACCTCATGTTTCTTTTTAGGCCTCCACTGCAACTATGTGTTTATTTTCAAGAACCCTCCTTTTATCACAAGCTGAAACACGATCATGAAGTGGTGCAAAATAAGCTTCTTACTGCTCAGAGGAGGATCACCGAGCTTGAAGCTACTGGCAAGGCTTTTGATGCTGACCTTGTAGCAACCTACGAGAGGGTGACTGGTCTTGAGATCGAGTTTTTGATGACCCATGGGAGGGTGTTCGGGCTCGAGGCTTAGCTTGTTGAGGTTCATGAGAGGGCCATGCTCAGTAAGGCTAAGCTTTCGGTGACCCATGGGAAGGCGGCCAAGCTCGAGACTGAGCTTGCGGAAGTCCGTGAGAGAGCCATGCTCAGAGAGGCTGACGCAGAGGCAGAGGTGAAGGCATCTCATGAGAGGGCTTCCTAGGCTAAGGAAAGGGGCTTCCTATGCTAAGGAGAGGGCGATGATAGTTGAGAGGGACTTTGAGAGTGGTCTTGCAGACACCTTTATTAACGGTTATGAGGAGCTTCGGGGAAAGATTTCCGCTACTTTTCCCAATATTAACGTCTCAGGCTTCTTGCCAACTGAGGCGCCTGATGACAATGGTGGAGATTCTAACGATACCGAGGGTGACGATGAGGAGGAGGATGACGACCATGAGTAGTTAGCATGCTAGAGACTTTTTGGTTTTTTGTTTTTTTTTTTGAAAAGGCATTTTGCAGCCATACTTTTGTAAAAGTGGTTTTTGCCATTGATGCAACTTTGAAGCTGAGAAGTTGAATATGAAAATGCAAAGATCATTTTGAAGGAAATCTAGAAATTTTATTCATTTTTTTGCTCATATAAAGCAATATCAAGTAATAGCCCCACAAAGAGTAAAAAATAAAACCAAGTCTCCAATTTTTCTACTTTCTCAAGGTGTCATTGGTAGTATCTCTTCAAGTGCTCCGCCTTCCATGAATGGGGTAAGACATTCCCCTCAAAATTTTGGATCTTGTAAGTGCCTGACCTTACCACCTCTGTTATGAGGTAGGGTCCTTCCCAATTTGGTTACAACTTTCCTTCCCATGAATCCTTTGTAGCAAGAATCACTTTCTTGAGGACCAAGTCTCTTGGTTGGAAAGAACGAGGCTTCACCTTTGAGTTGTAGTACTTTATCATACGGTGCTTGTACTCTGCTTTGTGGACCACAGCCATCTCTCTTGCCTCCTCTACCAAGTTGAGGTTGATGCGGAGTCCTTCCTCATTAGTGTCGGGGTTGTGGTATTGGACGCTTAGAGATTGCACCTCAATTTTCACAGGGATAACTGCCTCAGTTCCAAATGCGAGGGAGAATGAAGTTTCTCCAGTTGGAGCTCTTAGTGTAGTGTTGTAGGCCCACAAAACACCTGGGAGCTCGTCAACCCAAATACCCTTCACCTTTTCAAGCTTGTTCATTAGGTTGCGTAGCACCGTTCTCACCATAACTTCCGCTTGTCCATTTGTCTGCGGGTGCGCCAGGCTTGAATGAGGCTGCTTTATTTGAAGGTCAGAGCAGAAGGAGTTCAGGAGCTTGTTGTCAAACTATTTAGCGTTGTCGCTTACAATGGCATGGGGTATCCAGGAGCGACAGACCAGGTTCTTCCAAATAAAATCTTTGACCTTTGTATCTGTTATCTTTACTAAGAATTCGCCCTCCGCCCATTTAGTGAAGTAATCAATCGCTACCACCATGAACTTGCACTGTCCTTTGCTGAGAGGTAGGGGCCTAGAATGTCGATGCCCCAATTTAGAGAATGGCCACGGACTTGTGATGACCGTGAGTTCTTCTGGTGGCTGCTTGGGCACAGTGGTAAAGCGCTGACATTTATCCCACTTCTTGGTGAATTCCTAGGCGTCCCTCATCATCCAAGGCCAAAAGTAGCCTTGTCTGAGCACCTTATGAGCGAGGTAGCGCCCTCTAGAGTGATTCCCATAAACCCCCTCATGGATCTCTCAAATGGCATAGTCAGCTTCTTCAGGTGAGAGGCATCTCAGTAATGGCAAGGAGTAGCCTCTCTTGTACAGGATGTCCTATAGGATAGTAAACTTGGAGGCTCTCATCCTGAGCTTCCTGGCTTCTAGAGGGTCCTTTGACAACACACATTCTTGGAGGTATACCCTTATCGGGGTCATCCAATTTGACTCTAACGATGCACAATTGATGTTTATGGCTTCCATGTCTAACTTTCTTGGTCTTAATTGGTGACCAATGAATGTTGGTTCTCCTGGTGGGGCTCCCAAAGATGAGGTGAGTCTGGCCAATGCATCAGCGGTTATGTTGCCTTTTCTCACGATGTGATAAATCTGAAAGTATTAAAACTTTGCGATCAAGCTTTTCACCATGCTGAGGTATTCCTGCATTCTAGCTCCTTTTGCTTCAAACTCGCCCTTTACTTGATTAACAATCAATTGGGAATCGCTCTATGCGGCGAGGCGTTGGGCTTCCATTTTAGCTGTCAATCTTAAATTAGAGATAAGGGCTTCGTACTCTGCTTCATTGTTGGAAACAGTAAAGTGAAGCTTCACTGCATACTTGAGGGGAGTACCATCGGGGCTGATCAGGATTAGGCCTGCTCCTCCTTTTTCACTGGTTGAGGAGCCATCTACATAGAGCTTTCCAGAGTGGTAGAGATGAGGGCTCCAAGGTTAAAGTGAGAGCCTGGACGCTAGACTGGGCACTTGAGGAGGAGAACTGGGCACTTGGAGAGGAGATCTGGGAGCCTGGATAGGAGATCTGGGCGCTTGGGGTGAAGAACTGGGCGCTAGAAAGTGCCTGGGTGCCAAGCTAGGCACCAGGGGTGGAGAGTTGGGTGCCAGAAAGTGCCTGGGTGCCAGGAGGGACCTGGGTGGCTGGGCACTTGTGCTATCTTGGGCACTTGATCTAGATGCCTGATTACTCTCGTTTAGTGTCCAGGTGTCCTCGCCGAGCGTTTGGGTCTCCTCGCCAGACGCTTGATTGCTTTGCATTTCCAGGCTCAACGTTTAATATGTGGAAAGCTCATTGAACTCCTCTTCTGCTAGCATAAGCTCAACAATAAAATCTACCAATGCTTGTGTTTTGGTGGCCGTCCTTGATTGGTATTGAATGTCGAACTCCCCTAGTTCTACTGCCCACTTAAGGAGTCTCCCTGATACATCTGGTTTTCCTAAAACTCTCTTTAGAGGTTGATCCGTGATCACGACAATGGTGTGACTCTGGAAATAATGTCGCAGACGCCTAGCTGTTTGTGACGAGGGCGAGTGCTAGCTTCTCTAGTCCCAAATACCTAATTTCTGCTCCTCGGTAGGCTCTGCTCACATAATAGATAGGTTTTTGCACTCCATCACTGTTCCTCAAGAGGACGGAGCTTACTGCCGAGGGAGAAGTAGAGAGGTACAGGTATAATATTTCTCCTAATGCGACATGTGACAAGAGAGGAGGCTTAGCCAAATAGGCTTTAAGCCTCTGAAAGGCCTATTCTACCTCTGGTCCCCATTCAAATGTTTTTCGAAGAATTTTGAAAAAAGGCAAGCATTTGTCTGTAGACTTGGAGACGAACCTATTTAGTGCTATAATTCTCTCATTAAAGCGTTGGAGCTCCTTGGTCGAGGAAGGTGCTTTTATGTCAAGAATGGTCTTGATCTTGTCGAGGTTCGCCTCAATTCCCCTCTGGTTGACCATGAAACCTAGGAATTTTTCTAAGCCTACACCAAAAGTGCACTTCTCAGGATTCAACTTAATGCGGTATGACCTGAGAACATTGTAAGTTTCTTGGAGGTGGTCAATGTGGTATGTTGCTACAAGACTCTTTACCAACATGTTGTCTATATACACCTCCGTCGTTTACCCGATTTGTGACTAGAATATCTTGTTCATCAATCGTTTATAAGTTGCTCCTGCGTTCTTCAATCCGAAGGACATAACCCTGTAGCAGTAGGTCCCCCTCAAAGTGATGAACGATGTATTCTCCTGGTCTGGGGGGTGCATGTTGATCTGATTATATCCAAAATATATATCCAGGAAGGTGAGCAATTCATGTCCTGCAGTGACGTTAATAAGAATGTCTATTCGTGGTAGTGGGTATCTATCTTTCGGGCACGCCTTGTTGAGCTCAGTAAAGTCAACGTAGAGGCGCCACTTCTTATTAACCTTAGTTACCATCACCACATTTGAGAGCCACTCAAGATAGGCTACTTCTCTGACCGCTCCGTTCTCTACCAACTTTCTCACCTCTTTTTTCATCGCTTGGCCCCATTCAATAGAGGCACCCCTTAGCTTTTGGTGAACAGGCTTGTGGTGAAGGTCGACATTGAGGTGGTGTGTGGCGACCTCAGGATCAATACCTTCAAGATCTGCATGTGACCATGCAAAAATGTTCATGTTGAGCCTCAAAAAGTCTGTTAGTTGACGGGCCAAATCTTTAGAAAGAGAAGAGCCAATGTACACTCTTCTGTCCGGGTACTCCTTATCTAAGACTACTAGGGTGAGCTCCTCGACTGGTTCTCCTTTTTCCATGGTGGCATCATCCCTTGGATCAAGGACCTCCACCTGTAGGGCTTCTTGTGGCTTCTTTGTCTTCATTGAGGAGACATAGCACTCTCTTGCAGTTACTTGATCTCCTCGGACCTCTTCGACTCCGTTCAAAATTGGGAATCGGAGAATAAGATGGTAGGTGGAAGACACAACTCTTAGGGTGTTGAGAGCTGATCGTCCTAGGATAATGTTGTAGGCAGAACGACAATCTACCACCAGGAAGTTGACTATGATCGTGGAGCTACGGGGTGTTACTCCGGCAATGACAGGTAAGGTGATAGATCCTAGGGGATACACATTCTCCCTTGAGAACCCAATGAGAGGTGATCTGATGGGCTGTAATCTTTCTCTGCCCAAGTTGAGCTTATCGTAAGCCTCAGTGAACAAAATATTTGCAAAGCTACCGCTGTCCACGAGGATCCTCCGCACCTGGAAGTTGGTGATGGTCATGGTGAGCACCAAAGGGTTGTCATGGGGGTGCTGGATTCCTTCCAAATCCTTGTCTGAGAAGGAAATGACCTCGTTGTTGCCATGCTTAGGCGTCTTAGATGGGCGTAATTTGTTGGGGTGTCTGACTTTTCTGGCATGAGCCTTTATGACAGAGAGAGATTTTCTCCCTCCTATAAGCCCTTCAGAGGTGGTGTGAATTTCCCCAATGGGCTGTTGATCTTCCTGATTACGAGGTAGGGCTAGCGCTTGTCCCCTACTGGCAACATACTGGCGAAGGTGACCCCGTTGGATGATCTCCTCAATCTGCCTTTTGAGGTCATAGCAATCATCGGTGTTATAGTCATGATCGCGATGGAAGCAACAATATTTGTTTGGATTTCTTTGTTGCGGGGTCATCCTGAATCTGTAATAGGATGTGCCCGACAACAGCATTGTGGGGAGTAAAGGGTCGTCAATCTCTTTGGGGAGCAGGACCGAGCTGGTCTTTGGCAAGTACTCTCTCCATTCTACTACGCTTGTTATTATTCTCTCTCTTGTCGTCCCTATATTTTTCTTTTCTTTTCTCCCTAGTTTTGGAGGACTCACCTCGCCTAACCCTTGTGATATCCTCAGCATTCATATATTTTTAGGTCTTCGCCAGCAGTTCTGGCATGCTCTTCGGTGGGCGCCTTATCACCAAGAAGAGAAAGCTTGATGATTTAAGGCCTCCAAGGAAGGCGGTCATGCTGACCTTATCATCGGGCTCCTTGACCTAAAGGACCTCCTTGTTAAAACGAGTGAGGTAGCTTCTCAGTCTTTCGTCTCGTTCATGTTTTATGCTGAGCAAGTGGGTGGCAGGCTTCTGGTGGGGACCTCCTCCAATGAAGTGTGACATGAAAGACCTGCTTAGCTCAGTAAATGTGTCAATAGAGGCTGAGGAGAATTTGACGAACCATTGTCGAGTGGATCCCTTTAAGGTGGTAGAGAATGCTCTACACATGAATTCGTCAGGGACGTTATGCAATTGCATCAAGGTTTTAAAAGTTTCAAGGTGGTCCAGCGGATCCTTCAAACCATTAAAGGTCTCAACGGATGACATCTTGAATTTTTGGGGGAGTGGATAGTTTGCCACATCAGCTTTAAAAGGTGCGTCGGTTTAACTTACGAGGTAGTCTACTGTCTCAGGGCCGTGCACCTTTATGGTGTTGAAAACTTCACCTAGCTAATTTTGCACCTCCTTAATTTTTTCATCACATTTATTGGGAAGAGGTCCTCTGGAAGTACCACGAAAATGGCTCACATGCTCTATGCTTTGGTTTTCACCCTCGTTCTCTTTGAAATGAGGGTCTCCACTATAGGGAACATTAGCAGGGGCTGGGGAAGGAGGTCCCTCATGGTGGGTGTCCCCATGTGTGGCGCCCAAGGGAGCTCCCAAAGGTGGGGCGCCCAAGGGGCTGCCTGGATGGGGAGCGCCTTGGTGAGGAGCTCATTGATGATTAGGGAGTGGAGCTCCTCTGGCTTGAGGTCCAGGTTGCGCCCTTCCTTGTTGCCCGAGCATTAACTACAGAATCTGCTGATTCTAGGCCACGAGCTGTTGCATGGTCTCTAGCATCTGCTGCACATTTGAGGGTGGGATTGGTAGGTGGAGGAGCAATCTCCTTCTCTTGTGGTGGATTGTCTTCAGGGGGATTCATCAATCTAACGGTGACGACGACAGATTCAAAGAAGAGAGTGTTTAGATGAGAATTTTATCGTTTCCCACAAATGGCGCCAAATTGATGATGCACAAAATCGATTTGCAACACCATCCATCAATTAAGCAATATAAAATTCAATAAGTAGAGGGAGAGAGAAAATAAGGTTTAAAGTGATTCGATCAATGAGACCTACGTCCACTTTCAATGGCTAGGTTAGCCAGGAATTTTATTGACTCCGATGTGTTGGGACAACAAGAATTATAAGAGAGAGGGAGATAAGCTTGATTTTGTTGAGATGTCCCCCAAGTATTGAGGGAGTTTACAATTTATAGAAGTTTGCGTAGTAATTGAGTAGCTTGATGGTTATAACGGACCAGAGGCAACTTAATAGCTGATGATCTCTCCTCTCCCTGGCGACCTCTCCTCTTCCTTAACGGGCAAGGGTACAGCTCCTGGATGCACCCGTAGCTCCCTAATGGGCTTGACTGTCTTGGACCTCATAGGGCTTGCTTGGTCTTCTATAAGCTTGGACTTTTTCCCATGGATTAGGCCATTTGGGCTTGACCAATCAGCTATTTTATATAACAAGTCCATAATTTTGGCTCCAACCGACTATCTATCTCACTCGGTATTACCCATTTTCCCATATCAGTTCACTGGATCTGGTGAGAGATGAAAGCGAGCTATTCATAGCAAATCACTCCATGGATCGTCTTCATCCAGCGTCTGTGGCGTGTTCAACTTCAATGGAGGTGGGTTATCTCTTGATGTCGGCTCTGAAGACTTCACCATTTGATTCGGCTCTCTCGATCTCACCATCTGAAGACTCTCACCATCTGAAGCGTGCTCGATTGAGGTAATTTTCACCATCATCCATCAGTTATGTGAGGTTTTCAATGTGGGTTTTTGATTTTGGAAATGGGTTTTGGAGATTGAGAGAGTTTGAAAATGGGTTTTTCTAACTGGAACTACCTTGTGATTCTTGAGTTGGATATTCAATTCCAAGGGACGATTCTTGGTTTTGGGTTGATTATGAAGTGTTTTTGAGATGATTTTTTTGATCATTTGAAGTGGGTTTGTGAGATGGAGAGACTCTGATCTCCCAAATCAGAGTTTTCTAGGAATTCAATGTTACGTTTCATCTGATCTCCCAAATCAGAGTTTTCTAAATTTCGAAGATTGAATTTTGATTTTGGAGATGAATTTTGAATTTTAATTTTAGAGATGCCAAGCTTTCACTTATATGGTTGTTGCATGTTGGAACTGCTTAATTTTAGGTTTGAGTTTCTTTGTTGAATTATGTAGCAAATAGTATTTTACATAGTTGAAGGTTTGTTTTGCCACGGGTTATGCATCTATATTGTACACATGTTGCAATTGAAGGTTTTCTCTGCACACTGTACACATGTTACAATTGAGCTCACGCACCACATGTGTACAACCCCCTAGTTCCTATTATTAAGGGAGATCACACATTTGTCTCCACTGGATATCTCTGTTTCTCAGCTACTCTTAATGGTATTGATACATTTCATGATGTATTGATACATTTCAATAATGCAATCTAGCATACATGTCATGTCATGCTAATTGTGAATTGTAATGTGAAAAGTTTGTTAATTCTACCATGGTGGTCATGTTGAATTATAGGCATTACTCATGGAACCATTATAACATGGTGCTTACCGTTGTAAATATGACCATTGTAAAATTTAAAATTTAAAAATATGATGATGTAACACGACACGTCATCATGCTCCGTCATCATTATGGCGCTTACGTGTTACGTCATGTGACATTTTTGAATTATATTATTGAAAGTTAGTTGAAGTCAGTTAAAGTAGTTAGTTAAAATAGAGAGTGTGATTGAAGTAAATTTTAAAAAGTAGCTAGTTAAAGTAGAGAATTCAATATTTAAATATATTTTGAGTAGCTATTTTAGTTAGTGTGGTTGTTGATGCTCTAAAGAAAGTTTAGAACTCCAGGTCTTTCGGCTGCTTCACTTCTTTGTTTGCATTCATATGAAAATTTTAATTTTAAATGAGTATAAGTGGCACTAATAGCACCATAATAATAGCATCAATTCATTTCATTCTTCTCTCACTATTTGGTCAGTATAATATTACCCTTTTTTTCTGCCAAATCTACCAACCTGAATAAAATCAAAATGATAGTAAAGGAAACATTGGATGAGAGATGAAGCTTCCATGAACCTCACTAATCAATTGCAATTGATGCATGTTACAATGTAGTGGTTAATATAATATGGGAAGAGTTTGTTAATGCGTACATTTGGAATAAATATTATTTGGCACGTCTTAGAATACTAAATATAGTGGTAGATTTTGACTCATCAAAAATTTTCACAGGGTAAAAAAGAAAAAAGAGCTATTTATTGAGGATTACAATAAATTATGGCGATATAAATAGAAGTTTGCATCACTTAGAAGTAGCTTGGAGCAAAAAAATTGGAACAATCATGTAATTTTGAAACTTTAAAGGACCTTTCAAAAGGATCGTTTTTGGGACTTTATTTTGAAGCATAATTTTTCACTCTATTTTCAACTATATATATATAACAAAGAGTGGAGCTGGAGATTATCCCTCCTCAGTTAGGCTACTATGTTTTCTTGTTTGAAATTCCAGGTATGGTCTTCATTGGTATTTGCTTTCATTTATTTTTCGTCATTTTAAAGGGAGCATAAGAAAATTTTCTTGTCACAGTTGCTCAAAGTTATAATCTTATTGCATGTCATCGTAAGATGCCAAAAACAACTACCAAAATCTCAACATTGATACCACAATTTTTTCTATGATGGTAAAAAGAAAACTTAAGTTTTTTGTATTAATTCAAGAGAAGATGGTCAAATTAATTAGGATTTTATTCTTATCAATGTTTCTTTAATTCTAGCTTGTTAGTTTGTGATGATGCACAAAATTATCTTCGTGCAAGATCAACAGTCAAGTATGTGTAAGGGTGCAATTCATGAGTAACAAACAAGCAATCAATGGCAATTAAGAGTAAAACAGTAAATATAGAGTCAACACAGGAATTTATAGTGGTTCGGTTCAGGTGACCTACGTCCACGCTCGAGAACGGCAGCGGTGGCCTGGTGTTCTTTATTGATGACTCATGGTCTCTGGAGAGTTACAGTGCTTTTGAGAGAAACAGAGAGAGAGAGAGAGATGAGTGTGGAGAGGTTTTAGAGGCTTCAAGGTGTAGAGGTGTCAAGAAGGTCGTTGGAGGCGTTGGAGACCTTTGCCTTTCATGTTGAGAGGGCTTACATTATATAGCTAGGGTAACGCAACAGAGGCGGTGACGTGAGGGAGAAGAATTCTATTACTTTGGCAAGTATTGTTATGATAGGAGATCTTATATATCTATCTCCATATTATCTTCCCTCGTGCTCCTATTCATCCGGAGGAGAACATTAGTTGGACCTGGACTTGGACTTGTGTTGGACCTGGACTTGGAGTACCAAGGTGAGGAGGATCAAGAGGAGGGGCGCCCAAGGGCTCCCTTGTCCTCCTCCTCCTTCGGTCGTTGGTTTTTGGTGTTGTCTTCTTGGTGTCCTCCTCGATGGGTCGACAATGGACGCTTCTTTGGGCTTTCTGGATTTATCTAAATTGGGCTTGTCCCAGTAAAATTCGGGCTCATCATTTGCCCCCCATGTCCCAAGCCTCTGACTTTCGGTGAGAGGAAAGGTTTGTGGGCATGTGCTACAACTTCACCTGAGTAAGTCAAATTTTTCTTGTATTTTCTTCGGTACCACAACAACTTCATGGGAACTAGGAGTTCAAGCAGTTGTGGAGGAGAGAAATGAGGAGGAATCCACACCCTTGATATCATAGGAGTCTCCCATTGAGGTGTTTTGGGCGGTGCCCACGTTGGAGATGGGAGAGGTGAACAGGGCTTCAATGGTGCTCTCTTGGAGAAGTAGCTAAAGAGTCCAAGGAGGGAGCACTTGGTGGGCGACACCCATAGTGTACATGTGAGCTGCTGGGCGGTGCCCATATGGCTGAGGTAGGTGCCTTAGACCACGAGGCAGGTGACCAAGGCAAAAGGTAGGCGCCCAAGGCAAGAGATAGACGCCCAGGGCCAGGAGGTAGGCGTTAGCGCCTTCTTTGCTGTGGACCCCGGTATGGCATCAAATGTAGAGGGAGACTTGGTGGGCGACGCCAACTTGACAGGCGAGGTAGGAGCATTGCAGACGGCTTTGGGCGCCTCTTCTGGGCGAGAGGGAGAGCTGGGCGGCGATGATGGAGGTGGATGTTCTTTGTGTTGTCTTCTCCTCCTCCCAAGAGGGTGATGTTTGATGCCTCCAATGCTTCTCGGTCAAGGTCCAATTGTCAGGTTGCTTCCCGGGATATGGGTCCCGGTGGTGCCCCTATGCTTTTTCAGACTGGAGACTTCTGTGCTAGCCTTTGTATTGCTATAGGAGTTGGGACTCATGTGCGGTCTTCTATGGGAATTGTAACTCCACATAACTGTCCTGCTTTGACCTGACATTGGTCAACGAGAGGCTTTGGACCTCAGGGATATCAGAGAGGCAGGTATAGTGGCTGTTGAAGAACAAGTAGGGCTCGAGAGGATGCCACGAAGTAGTAGGGCTCGAGGCGATAGGCACGAGAGGATGCCGCAGAGCAAGTAGGGTTCAGGTGGCAGGCACGAGAGGATGCCACGGAGCAAGTAGGGCTGGGGTGGCAGGCACGAGAGGATGTCACTGAGTAGTAGGGCTTAGGCGGCAAGCACGAGAGGATATCGCGGAGCAAGTAGGGCTCAGGTGGCAGGCATGAGAGGATGCCACGGAGTAGTAGGGCTCGGGTGGTAGGCACAAGAGGATGCCGCTGAGCAAGTTGGGCTCGGGCGACAGACACGAGAGAATGTCACGAAACAAGTAATGCTCGAGTGACAGACACGAGAGATTGCCGTGGAGCAATTGGAGTTGGCTCATGAATAAGGCGATAAGCTAGTGATTGAGACTGCTCGGGAGCAGAGGTAGAACTACGTATAGCTCAGAAGAGGGCTGTCGTGGCAGAGACTCATTCTATTTAGATGGAGATGAGGAGGGCTATCTCATTCCATTGAGATGGAGATGAAGAGGGCTCTGAGGAACAAGGTGCCTGAGACTAATTCCACTAAGATGAAAATGAGGAGGATGTTGAGGAGCTGGGCGCCTAAGGCTCATTCCATTGAGATGGAGATGATAAGGGTGCTGATGAGCTTGGCGTCTGGTGAGAGGGGGCGAGACCCATCATGGGGGCACCCAAGGTGGAGATGGCGAGACCCTTCGTCTAGGCGCCTAGTGAGAGGGGGTGAGAACCATCGTCTAGGCCGCCTGGTGAGAGGGGGTGAAACCCATCGATCTGGGCCCGCCTGGTGAGAGAGTGTAAGACCCATCGTCTAGACGATCTCAAAGGAGGCGCTAAGGTGGAGAAGGCGAGACCTTCATGGGGCCGCCTAAGGTGCAGAGGGCAAGACCCCTTATCTGGACACCTTTGGACTTTTTGTCTTCCTTGTTGTTGATAGGTCGTAGGCTGTTTGAGATGAAAACAAGACAATTATGAAAACCTTAATCTTGCAAAATTTTATAAAATAATGAATAACAAAATAAATCAACTAAAATTGTAAAAGATAAATAAAATCTTCAAGCGTGTCCCATAGGTGGGCCGATGTTTCCTTGGCAGAGTTGTAGCCCTCAAGAGATTGTCTAAATTTCTCTGAGGGGTTGTTAGCGTTCTCTGTCGTCTTGGTAACGACCAAGTGGTAGGGCTTGTCCTCTGCCAACAACGTATTGCCTCAACTGACCACGCTGTATGAGCTCCTCTATCTGCCTCTTGAGCTCATTGCAGTCA